TGTATTTCCTCAAGTCAGTTGTTTCTTCTAATTTCGCACACCAAATAGCAGAAAGTTTTCTTTGATCCTTCGTTCTATTTTTATGAAGCATTTATTGGTTTAATAAGAAGGAAATTTTTATGTAATTTTCTGGAAATTGCAACCCTTAGAGGATTATTACACGGTCGATCACGGGTGCAGTTGCGGCTACCGGGTCCGGGTAAATGGAAGGGTTAAACGCGGGCGTGAAAGTGTTCAGTTTCACTCGCCTTCCGAGAGATCTACCTACCTGCCGGCGGCAGCAGGTAGTAGGAGAGGAAAACGCGTTCGAAGTTGCTCGAACCCAGTGTCCCAGAAGCGAAATCGTGCTCGCGCAGCGCGCAATGCGCCTCCTCGACCGGAAAAACGGTTCGCCAAGAAAATAAACAGAGAATTCACTGTGAAAATTCATTAAAGTTCGAGACGAATTTATAAAACGATTTGTAGGGAGTGTGAATCTTAAAGTGTGAAACGTTCTTAATCGCCTGGAAGTGTTTGTTAATTTATTATTAATTATTAATGGAACGAGGAGTTCGAATAATATTTATTGAGAATATGATTTCGTATTAAGAATCTGATGGATATTTGATTGAATTTTAACTACTCATCATTTTTAAAGAATTTTAGATTCGAAAGATAATTGATTATTATACAGAATTCTTCAGCAGAATGATAAATCAGTACATATTCAATTCTTCGACTCTTAATTATTGACGCTATCGAAAAGTTTTTCATATAGAAGTTGTAGGCATTGACGTCCTCTACAAGAAAAATTCTGAAGAATAGAATGGATTGAAAATCAACAAGGAAGAGAACACAGCGTCAATTGAACGACTTCAACACTTTTATTAATTACAATAAAAATTATATGAAAGAAGAATTTATTAAAATCGGTACATAATCTCTCCTATTAACTCTGACTTCATTTAGCATAATAAAAACATATAATAAATTAAAAATCAACAAGGAAGAGGAACCAGTCTCAATAAAAAAAACCCTAAATTAATATAAAATATAAAATAAGCTCCATTAATTGAAAGAAAATGCGAATACCGATGGAATCCTCCATATATTGGGACTCGGTGGGTTCCCAGCGGTCGACTTCCGGTAGCTCCGGCGAGTGCAGTTCCGGGAGCGCCAGCAGGCACTACGTGGACCCGTGGGACCTCGAGAACTACGCTTACCTACGCCGTCACAGCGTCTCCGGCTTGACGCAACCGGCGTCGTCGTCGCGGCATCACCGTAGGCATCCCGGTTATCATCGCGTGTCGCAAGACTCGCGGGCCCATTCCGATTACTGGTGAGTGGTCACGGTCGACGTTTCAAGGCCAGTTATCTGGATCAGCTGAGCCTCTCTCGTCAATCGTGCAAAATCAAATTTAATAACACCGGCGCTGATATTGTGTTTCTCCCTATGGGACAGTGCTCAGAATCGAGCAGTCAAATCACGCGCCGGTATTCAGAGTCGTTGCTTATTCTTAAGATCGCTTTAAGTATTTGATCGTTTAAGTCTCTGTTTCCTGTACAAGACAGGGATAGCAAATGCTTAAGACGATCTTAAGAATAAGCAACGACTTTGAATACCGATCCCTACAAATGGGAGCCACCGATGGTTCATATCGTCCAATGGGAGACTCGAGCGTGAGCCACCAATGATACGCGCCAACGGGAACATAT